GAGTCAACTACACTTCAAATTTTACAAGCATAATTTGTTCATTATTTCTAATGAAGCATTTATTAACTTTAAAGATTAATTTTCCAGACAAATTCTTTATCTTATGAGCCGACTTAGTATGACTTCTTAGAATCGGCCAAAAGATCTCACTTTACGGGAAAACATTTACATAGGTCATTTTAGGTGATGGAGCAAATGATTTTCCGGTGAGGACAGTCTTACATCCACATGCAATTTCCACATGTACCTGTATGTGTGAAAGGGACAGTACAACCGTACAACAAATATGGACAGACAGTAGAAGCACACACAGAAACACATGATGAAAACGTCAAGATATTTTACGTACTGACACCCTAAACTTATTCTATTTCCAGGCAGTTCCTGTTAGTTTAATTCCAAACTAATTTTATCATTGCAGCACGCTGGACAGACGATGTCTGAATAACAGACAGCCCGCCAGGGACTCAAGTAGAGACAATGCTCCTTCTGTCGTCGCAGAAAAAAATTAGCCACTGCATATCTAATTAAGCCAGTGAAGGGAGTGAAGATATTCTCCCTTGACAAATATTTCACGTCAGATAGTTCCTGACAAATTTTGTTTTGTGCCGTCACACAGACGCAACATATTCATATTAATTATGCAGCTTTGGGGATTGCTGTTTAGCATATGAAACAGTTTCTCTGTAAGGGCAGTCAATTAGTAAGCGAGCTCCTTTCAACAGCCACCCAGCCTTTGATTGCAATCATTCAGCACTTACTCTCGATTTCCTCAATTTGTCTGTGATCTCCGCCACTTCATTTATTTAATCAGAGCCAACATTGAAGCTATTAGCCACCTATTCTCCAGAGCTGACAAAGTGAGAAAGTCTACAGGATGGGAATAGAACCAAAGTAGAAGTAAAACCCAAACTTTTATGAGCCAAAATAATACCTGACCTTTTCAGTTAAATAAGGATTCATTCTAAAAACTTTTGACTAAACATGAGGTGGTAAAAAAAAAAGACAAACATGGGTGTACTTCTGCATAGCTTCGCCAATTTGTCACGAGAGCTATATACAGATGGCACTGTCAGTCGGGTCTTGGCAGGATACATAGCAGTTCATGGACATACTGGAATCTAAAGTTATTTTTGAGTTTTTGCCGGCCTCTTTCAAGCAAGCAAGACAAACATGTATTTCTTTTCTGAAGAACTTGTTTGTTGGACTTTTTGTCCTGTTATTCTGCCAAGTCACAGAGCTGATGGCAGAGGGAGTGAAAACTATATTCAGTTAGCCCCAGTGGCGTCAGTGTAATGGACTCGTCTTTGCTCTTTGTCTTTCTGTCTCTGTCTTTTTACTTTTTACTAAACCCCTTCCCTGTACAGCAATTATGCAATCTTAGCTTAGCAACTGTGACTTTACATTTTGAGGCTTCATGTATCGGGGTAAAAGCAATACTCTTTTGGTATTTGCAAAAACAAAAACACAAGAGCTAAGGTGTAAGGAATGGATTAAACAGTGTGTTTTCTGGCTCTAACATTAGCTGCAAAGGTTAGTATTACCACTGTGGCTCATAAGCTAGTTAGAAAGACATGCTAATGTAGTGTTATTTTCAAGGCCAAGATTCTACATTCTAGCTCTGCTGTAGTTAGAAGACAGATTCTACATTATTTTGTGGGTTGGCGTGTTTAAAAAAAGTCCCATTCATGACTAGCACATCCACTGTGTAATATTTTCCCATTGTGTGGAAGCTGGGCCTGGACGCTGTTGCGTCAAGAGTTTAAGCTAATGTTAGCGGCTCTGTCCTTGTCTCTATTCGATTTGGGGACAGTTACACTCCAGCAACCTCACCCAAACATGATACCCAAAATACTATTACATATGTCAAAGACATTGGTTAGTCCTCATAGTAAACGTCATCTTTACATCAGTCTCCTTCAGGATATCCTTCATAAGATGCACCATGTGCAACAATGATCAGACTGTCACGTGATTGTCACCTAATAAAATATCAGTAAATTCCATGACAGGCTTCAACCCATCCCTGACAGCCTCAAGTACAGCAATGTCCTGCCAAGTCAAGTTTGGGAGTTTTTCCAGGATTTTTGCCGTCATGGCATATGGTGATTTGATTATTTCTAGCAGTCCATCACAGACATTGATTCTTCTCATTTTTTAGTAACATTACTGTTTAGGCTACAAGACAGTTATTAAGCCAGTGAATTGAGTTGAAATACAGTTATCAACATGCGTTAAGGTAGATTCAGCTGCTCCTGCGCCTTACGGAGCTCTCATCGTTTCTGCCAGCGAGAGAATGTGCCATTAATGAAGCGGCAGACACCTACAGCCTGGTCAGTTTTTGCTTTCTCCTTCTGCAGTGAATACTTTACTGCCACATTCAAGCTGTGGCCAAAACAGTTTTGCCATGGCCAGTTGAGCTCCTATACGGACGCAACAACTAGAGCTGCCTCAGCAGGATGGTGGACAGCGCGTGTCTGTTGGTGGTTAGAGACTCCTTCACTGGTGCAACTGTTGTGCACAGTTTGCAAATGGCCTGTGTAACATCCACAGGTTCGCCTTTAGCATTTGGTTTTAAACCAACATATTGCCAAATAGGTGAGGTGACATTTTTTTTTGGCACCTACTCTGTCTTAATGGATGACGGTTGTCCTATCCTGTGATAATAATAATGAAAATAATAATATTAATTAATTAATTAATTAATTAATAATAATGATAATGTTAAAAATAGCAACCACATAATAGACTATAAATAGACATATTTATTATCCAATTCCCCACCCCCTCATACGATGTACTGGATATTTCACAGGATGATGAGAATACGATTTGACTATGGAGAAGATCGCCCAACCACAGCTAGAAAACAACAGCTAGAAATGTTCTCTGTAAATCAAGGACCCATTGCTTCAAAAATTACAAAGCCAGCTGCACCTGACAACCCATGGCACAGTTTGCCTGAAAGAAACTAAACTAAGACAGCAAACACTTTGTTTAGGATGGTCTAAAAACACTCTGCCTGAACACACCTTAAATTATTAATTGCAGAGATGTGGAAGCCACACGGGGGTAAATGAGCTAAATGTAAAGAGGCTGTCAATCACTGGTATGTCTTGATTAGTCTGCAACAATGGAAAAGTAAAGTCAACCTGTGGCAGTAACACAAACACTCTGCCTGTCTGGTGAAAGCTGAGCGCGATATTAAATGTGTATATTTATGCAAATGGCGCAGTGTGAGTGACAGCAGGAATGTGTCAGTACAGGGATGTCTCAGTGTACAGCCTGGTCAGGTGTCATGTGAACTGAATAATGCACAAGAAGAACCACCTAATTATACTGTACCATTTTTTTTTTTTTTTTAAATCCTTACAGCATGTATGGTGCATTTGGTAGATTGAAAATACCTATTAAAGGTAGACTTGATTGGCTTGATTAAGAGGTAGTAGAGAGATAATGTCAAGAACATTTTCTGCATGATTAACTGTCATGCGAGTTATCATGACTGATCACTGGGGCCCATGATTGTTTTTTTCTTAATTCCCAAATCTTTCTTCTTTGAGTCTTATCCTTGTGTATGTGCAACTATATGCACAGCCACCACCTCTCTTCACCCCCCATTCCAAACCCTCCCCAAAAAACCCACAAACTTGCCACAGCTTGAGCCCTTCTTGAAACTGGCTCCCTGTCAGTATTAGGGATGGGTATCGTTAAGATTTTAACGGTACTTTCACGGTACTCTTACCGATACTTTTTGAGGAAGAAAAAAAAACTTGAACAAACAAATTTGTCATACTTGTGACAACGGGCTGTGTTTGGATCCACCCTTCTAAAGTAGAGCCACAATTTGGACCATTTGGTTCTCTCCGCCATTATTATCTAAACTCTAAAGTTAAACAGACCCGCCCCCCCTTCCTCCGCTCACACAAACAGCAGGCAGGCAGAGAGAGAGAGATCTCAATAAGAAAAATATACATACATAGACGGATGTCTGACGGAGTTGGTGAAATAAATGTTCAAGATAACATTTATCTAGCAGAGAAAAAAAAAAACAAAAAAAGGATTGCTCCAGTGCCAATAGCAGAACCATTAAGGTTGGAGCTTATTGATACTGCGGTCTTAAATAATATATCCCCAGGGCCCGTTCAATACCGGGGCTCGGTACCCATCTCTAGTCAGTATGTGTCTCCATAGCGATGAAATTGAGTGACAGCAGCTGACATGGGGCCATCAGGCAGAGAAACAAATGGAGACAGCTCAAGTGTGTGAGAGTGAAGGTGTTTGTCAGCGTGCAGGAGTGTCCATGTGCAGGTGAATGCATGTGTTAGCCTTTTACTGTCCATGCTGGTACAATGAGATTCATGAGTGAGCACATTCATGCAAATTCAATATATACACATATATATGTATGTAGCTTATCTAAGCATATTCAATTGTTGCCTTTCCACTATGGTTTTGTACAGACAAAACAAACAAGAACTGACAAGCTCCAAATATAAGACCCAAGCTGTAATTATCCAGAATGATCTTTTAGTGTATGGAAACAAGACTGTGTGTGTGTGTTTGTCCATTTTTATATAACAAAAGGACTGTGTGTATTTGTCTATGTTTGTACCACTTCAGGTTTATGTTTGAGATCAAGACTTCCAGGAATCCAATGATAAATGACAGCAAAACACTCCCTGTCATTTTCTTCCCCTACCTGTCTCTGATTAGACTCCTTCTGTAGATACAGAGATGAGTCGCTCTGCCTCCCCCTCAGTCTGTTTCCTGCTCTCTCCACCTCTCTGAACGCCTTTCAATCTCTCACTTCAACCCACCTGACCTCCACTCTATTCTGTCACTCCTGCGTTTTATTTCCAAGACTCCTCTCCTCCTAACAACTCTCTCCCATAGGGGAAAGGTCAGATGCTTTGTGACTGCAAAATGTCTGAACGCATTGAGTCATCACAGGAGATTGCTACCTCATTAAAGTCCCATTTATCTCTCGTTGTGTCCAGGTGAGCGGGATCAATGCATCGATGAGCAGGAAACGTGAGCAGCGCGTGTTATTCATGGTGGTGGTTATGGTGATCTGCTACCTCTTATGCTGGCTGCCTTACGGTATCATGGCCCTGCTGGCCACCTTCGGGCCACCGGGCCTGGTCACGCCCGAGGCGAGTATCATCCCCTCAGTCCTGGCCAAGACGAGCACGGTCATCAACCCGGTCATCTATGTCTTCATGAATAAACAGGTGAGAGGGAGGGAGCGCTGTATCTGGGGTTGGTGCCTGTTGTCTTTCACTGTCATGAAGCTGTGGGCGGAGGTCATCTCACCTACTGAGACCAGTCATCTTGACTGTTTTCAAGGTGGGTGGATGTAATAGAAATTAGTCATTGTTTTATATTCCTATCAGATGATATCACTGTGCCTTATTGACACTGAATAATTATATTATGTACTTGTGTGTGGCTGACAAATAGAAGGTGTTTTTCCACATCTAATTCTAGCAGTTTGTTACATATTCAAGCTGTCCAACTTCAAACTGAAAATATATATTGTACTTTTGGATATTTGAGTGATGGATTTCTGCCTTTGTAAATATGTTAAGTTTATCAAAAAAGCATCGGAGACACAAGTAGCTCTCTACTTGCTTTCGGTGCATCTCAGGCCACGTTGAACAAATCTAATATATTTTGTAATTGACTAACCAAGCCTTTCATGTGAGTCTAAACAATCCCTGCTACTTTCTAACTACTTGTCAAACCAGAACAGGTATTTGCAGTGTCACAAAGGCAACCATCATCTGAAGTGTTGATAATTAAACTCACAGTAGGTCTCAATTAACTGTGGCCCACGCCCACTTTAGACAATATGATGAATACCTTCAGGAGTTATCTTTAATTGTGTGCTGTTTTTTCAGGCAGCTGTTATAAGTGGCGAGGGATTATTACTGTTTTATTTGCTCTTCTTCTTCTTCATTAAAATTTAAGTTGCTGAGAGATGAATCAAAACTGACACAATGACCCCATGACTTAATTATATATTACTACCATTATCAGCAACTGCTGAACTCAAACTTTTTGTTTCTGTGTGATGACATTAGGGTTGCACGGTATACCGGTAACAGTACAGTACCGCGATACTAGAGTTTTGAAAACGGTACTATACCAGTATTTAAAAACAAACGGTACTTTTATTTTATTTCATTGAATGCAAATGAATTGGTAAATTGGAGCCTGTCTCTTTAAGCACAGAGAGGCCAGCAAGTGTGACGTAGTTGCCCGAGCGGATGTAAGCGGCCTCCCACGCGCACTCGCATGTTTAGACTGAGGAGGAGAGAGAAACGACAAGTCGCGTCTTAGACAGACGGAGCGGGATTAAGAAAATACAGTAAATAGAGATGGCAGCTGCAGAAAAGCCCGTACTTGTGGACAAAATGGGGGCCCGAAGTACGGTGTGGAAATATTTCGGGTTCAAACCGAACAATAAAGGCGAGCCACTGAACCCAGAGGCACCGCAGTGCAAGCAGTGCTACAAAGTGTGTCTCGCAAAAGGAGGCAACACTTCAAACCTGTCGAAACATTTAAAGGACAACCATGCGGACTTGTTCCGAGACTTCAGTCAAGAACGACAGGTGATAATGTTGTTCACCAGTTCACTGCACTGTAATGTCAGTGAAAGAAGTACAAAGCCCCTCCCAGCCCAGTAGTAAACCTACAGTAGCCTGCATACAGAGAGCTAAAACATGCCCATGGTTAATAGATACATTAAAAAATATATTTTTAAAAATTAAATTACATTCTTTAAATATTTAAATAACCCATTAAAGGCAATACATAATATAATGAAATATTTTTTACAAAAAGTATCGAAAAGTATCGAAATACATATTGGTATCGGTATCGAAACAGATATTTGGTATCGTGACAACCCTAGATGACATCTGAATGACCTTCACATCTGATAACGTGGCTTCAAGTCGGTCATCAATCATTTCAAGTATTTCTTTATAACATTTAAAAAACAGTTTGACATTTTGGAAAATACGCTTATTCGCTGTCCAGAAGTTAGATGACAAGATCAATGCCACTTTCATATCTGTCAAATATAGGACAGTATTTCCCTTATGTACATTTTGGAGCGGCGCGCCACTGCTGCAAGATTATTGCCACCACTGCAATGTCTTGAAGTTGCAACTACACAACTCTACAGAGGGCTTTTAATTTGAAACGACACCCAGCTGAGGTGCGCGAGAGAGAGACAAAGAGGGAGGAAAGTAGATTTAACTAGCTTACATTAAGCTATACAGATTTTTATTACCTAATGATATTCACTCTGACCGCTGGGGTACTAGTGTTAGTTTTTAGTGTTTGCCACACACAGACTTTACTTGGTCAGGCTGCCCAGATATAATAACTGCCACCAAATTATATTCTGTTTTTTCATCCATCCGAGAGAATGACGCCATCGACAAGCTCCCCTCGCTCTACTCCTCCTCACCCTTCGACAAAGGAAACTGACATTTACATTGTGTGAAAGTGTGAAATACAAACAACACGAGCGTACATAAACAGAGGAACTTTGATTTTGCTGTTAGAAATACACATATACAGATAATTAAAAAATAACTTAGAATAAAATAGAAAATTGTATATGTAAATATAAATACAAAATATAAATACAAATGAGAACAGTGAGAACTATATTAACCTTGCAACAATTTGTTCTTGTGTTTATATTTGTTCTGAATGTATGTACAGTAAGTTTCTATGTGTGTATGTACAGAGATCAGCACAGTGCAAATGGTCAGTGCAGGAATACGCATACATTAAAAAATATTAAATAATAGATAAAGATCAATCATGAGCAGTTAATTAAACTGACTGCTTGTTTATTTTACTGTTCTAGTGACAAATACATGCATCTTTATCCTTTATTTGACTAGTCAAGAATCAACAAACACCTCATCCAGAGGTCATTTAACAGTTAAAACAAGCTAATGTAAAAGATGTTATTCTCTTGAATCAAGACATTTCAAGGAGGAAAATAAAGCTCTGGAAAATATGCAAGGAAAAAAATCAGTGCTGGCCAAGAATCACACAGTTAAATTGTAATCAGAAGTAAATCCACTCCAGCAAGAAAATATGAGTGTTTATTCTGAAGTGGCGCTGATGAAGCCACCATTGTGGCAGCAAAGCGCGAGTTCAGCCTTCAGAACAAAATTAAACCAGCCATGTGAAGTTGTTTGTCCGAGGCAAAGACGCAAAACCAGGCAGCGAGCTCTCCTGATGAATGCACCCAGTTTAAATCCACAGTCCTTGTCTCTGTTCATCTTTTCTCTCCATGCTCTGATAAATGCATAATCTGAATTGTGTTTGAAAATTAAATGCTATCAAATAGGATATGTATCATTATCACTAAAAATGATGAGTTAAAATAACGTGACAGAATTTTTACAACCCTGTCCGGACAACAAGAAAGTCTACAGCAACCTCTGAGAGAGTCGTTCTCTGGTATCACGTTAGAAGACTCAGACACAGACCAGGTAAAGCAACTTTTTCTCTCCTTATTGTGCAATTGTTCTCAGACTTTCGTAGTAGCTTCAAATATTATGAGACAAAGCAGAAACTACACAGTGGTGTCAGCCACAAGACTCAGGAGTGTATTCAGCAGATGTAACCTCACCTCTGTCTTCTAACTACAGCAGAGCTGGTCATCCCCGTCCCCAGAGTAAACAGAGAGATTTTTCGACAGATTTTTCAATGAACAGGGTAAGTGAAGTTTATCTTTCAGCATTAAATTTATTTTGCATATAATTTCTGTGTAGTTCGTGTAAAGCTAAGTGTCTTTCATCTGTTTTTCAGGTCAAAGCTGATTTGAGAAACAGACTGAAAGGGGAGCAGCGATAAATGGACCAGCACCAGAGGCGTTCCCATGTGCCCCAGTAGAGCTCTTCTTTGAAAAACCCAGAAAGACGAAGCCCTCTGACAAACAGAGCCACCTTTGTACACACTAAAGAGTGTTTTATTCTTAATTGTTTTTACGTTGTCTTACTCTTCCCATGTGGGTGGATGGAGGGGAGGGTTGGCGGGGTAGTGTTGAATCTGTGATATATATTATGTAAAATAAATAAAAATGTTCAATAAATCAAAATATTGTGTTAAAGGTCAAATATATTTGTTGTTTGTCACATGTCGTAGACCAGCAGGTAATTAGTGTAGTATATTAAAGACCTGTGGGAAACATTAGCTTTTGTACCAGTTAAACAAATGAGATAATATGTGTAAATGAATTAGCTTTAGAGTTGCTGGTAGACAGATTATGTTTCCTTCAGACAGTCAGGACAGCTGTTTCCCCTGTGTGCCAAGCTAAGATAACCAGGCTTTAACTCATCACATCCATCGTTGAAAGCGAATAAACATATCTTGAAATATTCATCACTAAAGGCAACAATCAAAGAAGAAAGAAAGAAAGAAAGAAAGAAAACTTTATATAGTGTAACACTCAAAAAACTCTAACTGCTTCAATATGACAGTGTGAGTTTAATCACATTTCACTGACAGTGACCAAATAACCCACGAACTGTCACCTTGTTCTAACAGAGTCCCGCCCACTTCAAATCTGAAATGTGACATAATCAAAATTGTATTTTCATTTAAATTTTTTATATTTAAAAATGCCTATGGCAGAAAATATTAAAGAAAGCTCTTTTTCCTCAACGAAATCTTTATTCCAAGAAGAAATTATAGTCCAACAACAATCCTCTTAAACAAGGCAGTTAAAGTTTAATTGTTTAACTGTTAAACAGAACAAAAAAGATACGCGACACTCCTAATGGCAGCGGAGCCCGAGGCTCTGAGCCAAACCTCTACACAAATAACAAGCCAAAGCTACGGCACTTATCCACGGCATTGCAATGTTTACAATGAGCTTGGTTATTTTTTAGCTCGAAATGTTCCCACACCAAACTTCCTCTTGCTCTCTTCATGTTTACCTGCGATGATTACCTGCGTGTTCATTTTTTTGTTGAAAATTTAAATTGCACCCCGGCTGCCACGTAGTGAAATTCATTGCATTGCTTCAAGACACACAACACAACACAACACAACACAACACAACACAACACAACACAACACAACACAACCTCGTTGGTACACACGTTAGATCAATCAGATCCCACGCGATCGACACATTTCTTAATGATCAATTATCGATCATCGATTAATCATGCCCACCCCTAGTTCTAACTAT